CGTGTAGGGGTTTATATGCGCATGCACGTACAGTCACCAGGCAAACCACAGCCCCGAGCGTGGGTTACGGTGTCCTTAAGTTCGAGGACCACCGCTTTATCACATCCTTTCTGAGCTCACACTCACCTTGTATTTGGTGCTCATTCTTCTGTAAGGTCTGATGCAAAGACCAGTCTCGTCTCCATCTTAGAGTTTGTTTATTTGTGAGTGTTTGAGTGTGTCCACTGTAGGCTGTGGTGGTGGAGGACTTTGGAATCCAGCTCTGCCCGTGTCTTCCCTGCTTTAGGGCACACATGGCCTTTCCGCCCATGGCCTTCTCTGAGCCCCGACCCAGGTGAGGGAGGTGGCAGGTCATGCCCCCGCGCGACAGAGCCGCAACTACTCAGGGTGCCCAGGCCCCTAGATCCACCGCTCCCTGTGACAGTCCTTCTCCTGTGCTTCTTTAGCAAGGGGCCGGGCATAGGTCTGAGGAGGGGGCGTCATCCGCGGAGAAGCCGACCAGAGCCTTACGCAGGAAGTCCAGAGACCCTCTGCTGTCCCAGCGGTGAGCCCTGGCCTGTCCTCCCCTGTGAGCCTGCTGCTATGGCTGGCGTTGTGAGGGCGCCTGTGGTGGGTGGTGTGGGGCACGTGTGGGGCCCTGGGCATCCCTCTGCTCTGCTTGTCAAGCGGTCCTCTGCCTCCCTCACTGCCCCCCGCCTCCACCCCCTGAGAATGTCTGACCCTGGGTACCCCTAGTGCCTGAGGTAAGGGCCTTTCTTGCTGTGAGCTGAGGAGCTGGCAGGCCCTCTGGGGACAGAGCGTGCTGCCTTTGGAATGGCGTCCATGGCCAGTCCTGACTTCCCCTCCATGAGCCGGGCCGTCAGTCACCCCCCTGCCCAAACTTCCACCTGCACCTTGTTCCTCAGGGTAGACTGAGGCCCGAGCCTCACCAGCCTTCTGCCCTCCCACAGGATCTCCTCTCTCACGGCCTCGCTGCACGCGCACAGGCGCAAGAAGGTCAAGAGGAAACATCCCAGCCGGGCCCAGGACTCCACCAAGAAGCCCCCAAGCGCCACTCGTACCAGTAAGACCCAGCGCCGCCGGCTAACAGGCCAAACCCGGCACAGGGGGAGTGAGCCCTGAGACCCAGGCTGTGCCCCAGCCTCGGCTGCAAGGACCTGTCCTGTCCCAGCTTGGCTGTCCTGTAAGCCAGCCTGCACCCAGGCGCTGACTCCCCAGCCCAAACTTGGGAGGCCAGCACCTCTCTGGCCTGGGGCTTAGACTCCAGCCGACGCAGGCGGCTGAGAGCTGGCCTCCGCCAGGGGGAGCCTCCAGGGCCACATTTGGGGCATCTTCCCAAATGTATACCCCACCGAACCTTGATTACATTTGTGAAAGTAAGCGCACGTGTGGATGGTTTGTCCCTGGCCCCGATGCCGCACGCCGAGGGCAGGCGTTTGGGGTGGAGGGAGCTGCTGGGGTGTGGGTCATCCTCACTGTCCAGCAGTCCTTCCTGTGGGCATGAAATGCTAGCACTAGGCCCGGGCCCCCAACCTGGGTGAAGGCCGGCGCCACCACTGCTAGAGGCCAGGGCCTCCCTGCGGCTCTGGGACCTGGGCCGGTGGCTGAGCAGAGCTGGGCTCTGCCTTTTCCTGGCTAGGACCTTTTGTCTTTTCCTTCTCCTTGGCCTTGTTGGCCTCCTTAGCTGACGTTGAAGGGGTGGAGACGGGGAAGTCCCAGAGTATTCCTCACCACCCCCCCCAAACTTGGGCAGCTGCCCCAGGCTTCCAGCAGCTCCCAGACAGAGCCCCACAAAGAAGGAGCAATTAGTCCCTTGTAAAGAAAATACACTTCCACTCGCCTGAAAGCCTGGCCCTTTCAGAGCAGGCCCCTCATGAGGCCGGCTGGTGCTCGGTGAGGCCTGCTGCTTTTTCACACTTCTTCCAGGGAGACCTTCAGGTACGGCTTCAGAGCCGATGGAAACCAGCCTGTTAGTGACCCATGTCACTCACACTCCCCGCTCTTCTCCTGACCGAGCTGGGCTGGTGGCAGAATCCAGGTCCAGCTGCCTCAGGTGGATGTGGTGCCGGTGAGGACAGCCGGAGCATCGGTTCTGGAGACTGTCAGACCCCACTTGCGCTGACTGGTTCCTGTGACTCTGGGCCAGAGCACAGGAATTTCAGGTTGTGCCCTGATTAGCGGAGCTGTGTCGGGCTCTGACACTAGGACTGCAAAGGCGAGACACATGAGCTCTAGGCCCCTGTGCAGCTGATGGACTAGTGAGTGTGTGTGAGGGGAGCGCAGGTTCTGCTCAGCCGTGGGGCGTGGGGCTCCTGGAGGAGGGGAGCAGGGATCGGGGGTCCGCAGAGCCAGCCTTCCCCTCCACTCACCCTGTGGCGGGGCTGCCAGGAGCAGCCTTGGCCCTCTGTACTGGGCAGGCGTTCTCCCCGTCACCATCAGCCCGCCGTCTGGTGCTGGCTGCTGTGGGTCTGAAGGCCATACCTGGCCGTGGGAACGCGAAGCTCAGGGCTTGTGGCTGGGAGGCCCGGTCACCTGGCTTCTTGGCTCCTTCCACCTGCTCTCCCTGCTGCCTTCCTGTTGTCCTCCCTGTGCTTGGGGTGGGGGGACTTGACCCGTTCGGCTGCCTCTATCCAGGGCAGAGGGCAGAGCTTGTACAAGCTGTCCAGGTGGTTCTGGTGCTTGCCCCGGGGCAGTGAGTCTCTCCCTTACAGCCCCTTGTGATCAGGAGCAGAGATGAGCCCGGGGGATTCGCACACACAGCTGGGCTGGGGTTTGAGTCCTGGCTCAGCCGCTGGCCCACTGTGAGCTCCTCACTGCTGACTTCACTGGGACTGTTTCCCCACGTGTGAGATGTCATAAGACACCTATCTCGCAGGCCTGCTTGGAGGCTGAAGGGAGACCACGTGCATGAACCGCTTCCCACGGCTCCTGACTTTCCCAGGTGTGCCTTCCGTGTGTGCGCGGCTGCCGCTGAGACACCATGCCAGGCTCTCTTCTCCACCCCCAATGACATAGGATGTTTTACAACTTACACTTACATTTGTAATGTTTACTAGTATTAAGTTCTCATTCACTCTCTCCCATGTGTGCCCTCGGAAACCAGCAGACCAAGGAAATTGAATCATGGTAATTTTTGCCAATCCTAAGATTGAAAGTGATAGAGTCAGAACTCTCTGGAGAACTTGTCTTTTCTCTCCATGTTCTACCTGGATTCTTCCTTTCGCTCCCCATCCTGTGGGCCCTGTGGTTTGGGACCTCTAGGAGCTTAATCAGGAAAGATTAGATTTAGCTACATATAATATGAAACAAGATTTTAAAATAACTGGCTTATGTAAGAGAGGAATTCTCAGGTTAAGATGGAAGGTAGCTAGCCTGGAGTGGAGATGGCAGGCTTTTAGCTTTTTGTTTTGTGCCATTTTCAACACATGGGTTCCACCTCGTGGTCCAAGATGGCTGCCTGAGCTTCAGCCATCATATCTGCCTCTCAGCTGCAGGAAGGAGGAAGGGATGAAGGTCAGGGCCCTCCTTTTAGGAACACTTGATGCTTGTGCTATTAGGCAGGCGGCAAAGGCTTAGGGAAGGAGGAAGAGGGAGCTCCTAGTTGCAGGGAAGGCTGGGGTCCGTGGTCTATTCTGGAAAACCGTGTACCCACTAAGAATTGGGGATTGCGTTACTAACGGGAGAATTGGTATTGGGGTGCAAGCAGCAGATTCTCACACAGGAGCCACATATGTAAAGGGCTGTCCAGAGGGGATCCAACTGTGGAACTAAAGCCGTAGCAGACGCTCATCCAGATGTTCCTGTTACCACACTGAACTTCCCAGATGGGTCAGGCCTGTGCTAGTAAAACAAGGAGCAGTGGCCATGGTTACTGGGAGCCAGGCCTCAGCTCAGTAGAGGAAAGAACTCTCCTAGTAGGATCCGTTTTGGGGTGGCCTGATTCTCCCCCGGGGGCTGAGGTGAGCAGGCCGGGTGGAGCTGCCCGCCAGCGCCTGAAACTGAGGAGGGGAGGGATCTGATGTTAAGCCTCAGCTTCCTTCCTCTCCAGAATCCCCTTGACCTTGATGTTCCGTAGACTTGAGCTGTTGCCCTGCCTTTAGCTGTGTGGAGGACTCTGGGGAGGGGTTCCCAATTCATCCTGAGCTTGGAGGGCTCACTGCCTGCTCTTTTGTGAGCAGGCCCATCTTAGAAAAGCCCTCCTGGGACTTGGTGGTCCAGTGGTGGTTAGGACTCTGTGCTCCCAGTGCAGGAGGCCCGGTTCAATCCCTGGTCGGGGAAATAGATCCCGAACGCTGCAACAAAACTGAAAGATCCCACTTGCTGCAACTAAGACACGGCGCAGCCAAATAAATAGTTATTAAAGAAAAAGAAAAAAGAAAAGCCGTCCTGTTCTAAGCAAACACCTGCCTCCTCCAGATGCCAGAGAAGCCATTTAGGTGTTTGCACTCTGCCCTCCGCCTTTCTCACCTCGGCTCTGAGCTGCCTCCTCTGGGAAGCCTTCCCTGACACCTGGCAATCAGTCATTTCTCCATCGGGGCTCCCGGGATACTTTGCGTTTCTTTCTTTTAAACACTGAACATATTGCAACCTGGTTACCTCTTCCCCCCACAGCCAGGCCCTTAGCTTTCTGAATGGGAAGTTGTGTCGGTCATTTCTGTGTTTCTGCTCTTGAAACAGGACCTGAATCGCTGTAGGTTTTTGGCCAGTCCTGGCTGGATTACACTGGACCCATTCCCCCTCCTCACAGGTGTTCCCAAGTAACCCTTGAAATAATCTTTTTGAGATTTTCTTGGTCCTAGTGCCATGCTTTCCTGTCTGTAAGTTTCTGAATCTTGTTTTTTCTCATTGCCACAACCATCTCCCGTGGGCCCTTGCTGAAACCTTCCCTGTCCAGTGAGCTTTGCCCTCTCCCTTCCCCCTTAGTCACCATGATTGGCAAATAACCAAAAGAAGGAGGATGGAAAACAAATTTATCAAGCACCTCCAATGTGCCAGTGATGACATTAACTCAACAGCAGCACTGTGAAGTGGGTACTAGCTCCATTCAACAGTTGAGAAAACTGAGTCTCAGGTTAAGTTACATCAAAAGTTACCCCGTTATAGATAATAAGACATGATCCTCACATCTCATGAGGGAGACAGACACATGGAGATCACCCTGGAGGTCGGTTCAATAAAGTATAGGCCCAGGGGGGCACAGAACAGAGAGGAGGTGACATTGAAAGGAGTCTTGGAAGATGGCTTGGCCACGTGGATGGGAGAGGGGATGGGCAGGCAGAGAGCCCTTGGTGAGCAAAGGTCGGGGAGGGGTGGTCAGAGGAGAGGAGAAAGCTGCAGAGGCCAGCAGGGACCAGACCCTTAAGGGCCTCAGATACTGAGCTAAGGATCTGGACCCTTGGGGCAGCGGGAGCCTCTGATGTGGGAGTGGGGGTTGAGCCTGGGGAGAGTCAGAGTCAGGGATTCATTTGAGAGAAATCTCCCTGGTGGCAGCGTCAGGGTGCACCAGGGGGACTGGAAGCTCCAAGACCCTCCAGCAATAATCCAGGGGAGGGGTGGGCAGACCCTCCTCTCATGCAGGCACCACTTGCTCTCTCACCAAGTGTTTACTGAGCACCGTTAGGGAAGTGCTTAGTAAAGCACCAGTATTGGGTGCTTAGCACTGGGGATACACTGGTGAGCAAGACAGGGTGGTCCATGCCCTCCAGGGACTTACATTCCCTGAGCTGTTTCTATAGGGTCAGAGAGGAGGAGAGATAATAACATTTATTGAGCACTCACTGTATACCAGTCACTCTTTACCTGGTTTAACTCACTGAGTTCTCACCATAACCCCACAGGGTAGGTAATTCCATTAAGCCTATTTTGTAGGTGAGGCACATTGAGATGCCCCCCAACCCTACCCTTATGTCCTTCAGGACACTGTTTTAGCTGAGTTCTAACTGCTCACTGTCTCTCAGTTGGAGCTGGGATTTAAGCTGAGGGTCATCTATGGCTGGGCACATGTACATCTCCAGGGAAGGTTCAAGAAGGTAGATATACCCAAGCCATGGGTCCTTTCGCAAACAAATAAGTCACACTGTAGATACCTACGTTAACACTGCCGGACTAGCTGAACAAACCCAAAGAAACGGGAGGCGGAGATCCAGGATCTTACCTCCAGGGGGCACCACTCACATGGTCGACAACGTGAAAGACACCCCAGGAACAACGGGAGTCTTGCACAGGATCCCGGCAGAGTGAGCTCTCACTTAAGGCTGGGGAAGCCAGGGAGGGCTTCCTGGAGGGGGTTGGCATTTAAGCCATAACTAAAGGATGAAAATCTGTGATTTACCATTTCAGAGACTGCATGAAAGAGAAGTCCTGAGGATTAGTTTGATTTGACTCACATAATGTTTAAAAACAATTTGACTTAGCCATGTTTAAAATTTTTTGAGGTTTTATATAAAAGTTCAGATTTCCAGCTTCTCCAGCTTCTGCAGGCTTTGGATCACCACTTTACAGGGTAGGTAGCTTTGGGCTGGAGCCAGCCCTGATGACCGCTTTAGAGACTCATACCTTCCAGCCCCTGCTCCACTGGGTCACAGCCCCCTGCATCACTACCTTGCCTGCCCAGACCATGTGACACTCCAACAGGCCTGTGAGCCCGGAGGCCTGGGATGACCCTTCCCGCTTGATCAGTGAGGAAACTGAGGCTCAGGGGGGTAGAGTGGGATTAGAACTGTCACTTACTGTTCTGCTTCCCCAAATCTCTGAAGAGGTATGTCTGCGCCGAGGGGAAGGGCGTGAGCCAAGGGGTGGGGGTGAGCAGGCACAGACTCTTCAGGGAGCAGAAAGGGGAATGGGAGGCTGGGGCTAAATGGTGACAAGTGGGACGCTGCCCTGGCTGCTACCATTATGCCCTGAGCCATCCCACAGAACTCAAGAGTGTGTTTTCAGACCAGGCACTGTCATCGAGGGTCTGGGTGGCTTTGGGCAACTTGCTTGAGTCTTGAGTTTCCCATCTGTACAATGGGGTTGTAGCTGCCCTTCCCATCACAGGGATGAAAGTACCACTGTCCGCCACAGGAGGGGGCTTCCTTCAACAGACCCCTTCACTCATCCCAACACACTCTTGGCTCACCGGCCCCCTTCAGGACCCTGGCTACTGCCCAACCCCTATCCCCCACCGCAACTGTTTGCCCTGGAGGAATGCAACCAGGTAGCTCCAGAGCTGCGGAGAGCACTCAGGACAGCCCACCAGTCCCACCCACTGACTCTCCCCCTCACCTCCTTATTCTTTCCCCTCCAGCCTCACTGCTTCTTTTCCCTCAGCCTGAAATGCTTTTCCCAGGACCTGCAGGCTCACTGCCACATCTTCTCCAGGTCTTTGCTCAAAGGTCGCCATCTCAGAGAGGCCATCGCTGACCACCTTATTTATTTATTTTTTAATGTTTAACATTTTCTAAATAATTTATTTTTGGCTTTTTGTAATGTTAAGTAACAAATAGAGCCATTGGAATTGTTTTATTGACTAAATATATATGTGTATATATATGAGATCCAGCTGTAAATACTTCCTGACCACCTTATTTAAAAAGTAATGCTCTTGGGCTTCCCTGGTGGCGCAGTGGTTGAGAGTCCGCCTGCCGATGCAGGGGACATGGGTTCGTGCCCTGGTCTGGGAAGATCCCGCATGCCGCGGAGCGGCTGGGCCCGTGAGCTGTGGCCGCTGAGCCTGAGCGTCCGGAGCCTGTGCTCCGCAATGGGAGAGGCCACAATGGTGAGAGTCCCACGTACCGCAAAAAAAAAAAGTAATGCTCTCCCCACACCAGCCACTTCCAACCCCCCGACCCCTTCATTTTTCTCCTTAGCACCTATCGCCAGCCGACATACTCCATGTATTGCTTCTTTATCTTGTTTGGGATCTGATCTGTTTGTCTCCACTAGAATGTAAGTGCCACAAAAATAGGAGGTTTGCTCTTTCGTTCACTGATGTGTCCTCAGCACACACAACGGACAAAGTAGGGGCTCTGTAAGTATTGAATGAATTGAAATGTCAGGAGTGCCACGCTGAGTTGGCTCCAGATTTTACTGGTTGGTGGGGGCTAGAGAGCTGGGGCCATACCCAGAGTTTCAAACTCAAACTAAGCACCCACCCACCCCCTGACTCAGAGAGGTCAAGTAACTGTCTCAGGATCCCATGGCCTCACTACAAGTGCTAGAGCCTCACTCCTCCCTGTTTTGCTTACAGTACTTGGGACTGAGTGGAAAGATCATTATCCTTGTTATGAAGGTGTGCTTTCACCCACTCTGTCCAGGATGACCTGTTCAGGGGTCTGTCTCTCCCCCTGGTCAGTGGGCTCCCCCTCTCAGAAGGAGCCACGTTTTATTCATGTTACCATGTCCCTGGTGCCCAGCACAGGCCTGGCATGTACCAGGTACCTGTGAATGTCTGAGTGAGCTAGTGAATGAAGATGCTCTGTATTGGCCAGTGGAGTCCAGACACACACGGGTTTTAGTCTTGGCGCTGCCACTTACTAGCTGGGTGACACTGACGAATTAGTTATTTCTCTGATCCTAGTTGCTGTGAAATGAGGATCTTGGTACTTAATCCTTCAGGTTACTACGTCCTCATAGATGTAAAGATTTTGGAATAGAAGCTGGCAGATAGTGCAGAACGTTAGCTTAGAAAAGAAGGCATATTTTTTAAAAAGGAGGAGCTTTGCATTTTGTGAGTGATCTCCACATCAGTGGAAGTGTGCAAATGGATGTGCAAATGGTCGAAAACCCCTGGGCATTTCATTTCATCCTCACAGGTACTACTGCCACCTCCGTTTTACAGATAAGAGAATTGAGACGCAGAGCCAAAGCCATTCCTAGGAGACTGTGGCGGGAACGAACTGAAGGGAAAGA